ATGGTCAAGAGCTGAGAGGGGGAAAAAAAATGATTTAGAAGACATAATGATCCAAAGCTTCACTTTCATCCTTCCGCACACGAGGAGTTGCTGTGGTCAAGGGTGGTATGCTGGTGAAGATTTTCTGTAGGAAAGACACCAACAACTGAGGAATTGGATCGGAAATGCCTGCTGGCCATGGCCTTTTCAAGGGGTTGACTTTTGCTAAAAATGACCTTAGCAGATATGAAAAATGAGGTAGCCTCTTCAGCCTTTATATCACCACAGATATAAAGTGCCCATGCAATATTGCGGAGGCCAAGATAAACTTGCTTAATACAGTTAGGATTTTTCAATCAGAACATCCTTCCAAATAAAAACAACATTTTACTGACGGAAATATTGTGCAGATGGGCAATGCTTTCAACAAACTTCCAATAAAACAATAAACCACAGTGAAACAAGGGGAAACACATAAGTTTACCAGCTGCAGAGTTTCTGCAGGAGATATATCTCTGCCTGCAAAGGCCCTGGGAGTTCATGGGATTTTCACACTGCCTCCATAGATTTAAAGTCTATAGATCTTAACTCTGCTGTGGCTTCCACAGTTTGTGTACTCCCAGCTCTCCATCTGCCCACTAGAGCTGAGTCCGAGTGTGGAGTCCAGGATTCCTAAACTATTGTGCTGCTTAGGTGTCTGCAAAAAGTTACAGCTTAAAATAATAATAATAATAATAATAATAATAATAATAATAATAATAATAATAATAATAATAATAATAATAATAATACCACTTTTTTATTTTAATTCCACCCTTCTTTGCACCTAGAGATCTTTACAGAAATATTCTGTTACTTTTTTTTTTTTTTGTATTTGTTCAGAAGAATAAAAATACTAGAGTCAAGATGATATATTTAGCCAAACCTTGGTTGCTGAACACATCAAGCAAGGTTTTTAGAGGAATCACTGAGAACCAAAGGTTGGTTGCTTTTTTTTTTTTTTTTTTTTTTTTTTAACATGGGCATATCAGACATTTTTTCTTCACATTTTAATTAGTTAAAGTACTTCAGAGAAATAAAACAAATAGTTGCTACTTGTAGAATTTGTGGAGAATTCTCTAATAGACTGCATAAAATCTTTCTGTTTATCAGGCTTCAAAGCCAATTAACATTTATGAAGTCAGAATTTAAATATGACTGTTTAAATTCTGCTGATAGTATTTATTTCTACCAATCGGGTATTCTGGATTATACAAAATATAAATTAAATGACTGAACTGACCATTTGAAATATTATCATAATATAATTCCTTTCTTCCTCTCTGTGCCTCAGTGCCAGGAATCATTGATTCCATGCAATCTGTTTATTTTTAGTACTTTCTAAGATACTGGAAAGCATTCATCTACTAGTATCTCAGCTCATCGGTCATAAGCCATAGGAAAATAATCTTTTGGATTTGGCACCAGAGTTTTTCACACAGGAAAACAAAAGGCTTTCACTTTGCTGAAATGGAGGTGATTTCAGTCCATGCCTTCCTTAATCAGAGCAGTGGAGCAGCTTCAGTGGGCACAAGTCAATCACTTAGCTCCTGGGGATGGGATATGGTTAGATTTGAGGGTGTCAATGGTGAGCTTTCCTTCTCTCGTTAATGGGATTTCCACCTTCCACTTGGTCAGTTTATGTGATTGTTACTTTTCAGAGACAGATAGCTGGGAGACTGCAGATGTCCTTGTATGCGCCTTGAAAGCAGGATTGCCACAGGAGTAGAGGGTTATTAACACTTTGATGTGAGAAATCTCAGAAGCACATCCTCTATATAACCCTCTGCTTTGGGAGGACCCTTCTCAACAAGTGTTCCCAGCCCCTTTTGTTTCTGTGTCTCTGCCCTATAAAGAGTTGTCTTAGAATCAAAAAATACCCTGAGTCGGAAAGGACCCACAAGGATCATTGAGACCAACTCCTGGCTCCACACTGGATCTCCCCAAAATCAAGCCTTATGTCTTAAAGCATTGTCCAAACACTTCTTGAACTCAGGCAGGCTCAGTGCCCTGACCACTACCCTGGGGAGCCTGCCCCAGTGCCCAACCTCCCTCTGGGTGCAGAACCTTTCCCTAACCCCCAGCCTGACCCTCCCCTGTCCCAGCTCCATGCCATTCCCCTCGGGTCCTGTCACTGTCCCCAGAGAGCAGAGCTCAGCACCTGCCCCTCCACTCCCCTCATGAGGGAGCTGCAGGCCGCCATGAGGCCTCCCCTCAGCCTGCTCTACTCTGGGCTGAACAAACCAAGGGACCTCAGCTGCTCCTCATATGGACCCTTCACCATCTTTGTAGCCCCCCTTTAGTCCTTTATACTCATTCCAATAATATCTTTCTTATGTGGTCAAGCCCCAAACTGTACATAGTTCTTAAGGTTAGGCCACATCAATGCTGAGTAAAATGTGACAACCACATCTCTTGACTGGTTAGCTATACTGTGCTTAATGCATCCCAGGATACAGTTGGCTCTTTTGGATGCTAGGGCATGCTGCTGATACATACCAACCAAACCCCCAGATCCCTCTCTGCTGGGCTACACTCCAGCCACTTGTCCACACATCTGTGTGAACAGCCAGGATTACCCAATCTCAGGTGCAGAATCCAGCACTTGCTCTTGTTTTATATCACGTTGTTGGTGATTGCCCAGCTCTTTAATTTGTCAAGATCTCACTGCAAGTCCTCTCCCTTCCCTCTAGGAAGCCAACATTTTCTCCTAATTTTCAAACTTGTTTAGCATGCATTTGAGCCCTGCATTCAGTTCATTTCTAAAAATATTGAATAGAACTGGCCCTAAAATGGGGCCCCACTGAACCCCATTAATGTCTGGCCACCAGTCTGATGTAACTCCATTTACTATAACCCTTTGAGCCCAAATCATCAGCCAATTTTTCACCCATTGCATATCATACATGTCCAGCTGGACATTTTTTCCAGAAGGACACTGTAAGAGACAGTATCATAAACTTTGCTAGAATTCAAAAAGACCACATCTACTGGCTTCCCTTGGTAAACCAGATGGGTAAATCTGTAACAAAAGGAAATTAAGTTTGTTAAGCAGGACTGTTGTTCCTGTACTTCAGAAACCAATTACAGTGCAATCACCCCCAAATAGAAATGAATCAATTTAGGTGCCCAGATGAAAAATACAAAAATAATGTATTTCAAAAGTCCATAACAATGCTTACAGTAGGCAGTTATGAGAGAAAATAGCTCATTTGAGAGGTCCCTTGTCATTTGTTTACTAGGAAATATCACTCAGACCAATGGTCAAAGGACATGTTTACCTCATTTTACAATGAGGCCGTGTCTGCACTTCCTTCCCACTCACCTTCCTTCCCTGAGCCCTCTCACAACTCCCCTGGACCTGTTTGTGACTCCTCACATCCTTCAAGGTGCTCATGACTTCATTTCCCAGGGGCTAAATATACCACTTTCACCATAAGACTATCTTGAATGCCTGGAATAAATTCAGATGACAGTATTGCCATTGGCAGAGCTGGTCACTCCAGCACCACATGCATGGACCTTATCTTGATCCACTAATTTTTTAAAAGAAGAACAGGCAGTGATGGGAATTGTCTGAGCCAGACTCACTACATAGATCATTTATGGACTGTATTGGGTTTACATGCAAGGTATATCTGGGAGAAAGAAGACATAAAATTTTGAGAGAAGCAGCCTTGCGGCCACCAGGGTCAGTGCAGAAGGAGGGCAGGAGGTGCTCCAGTCACAGAGTAGAAATTCCCCAATGACCTGTGGAGAGGAGCAGATGATGTGCCAGGAGCTTCTCCCTGTGGGGGACCCGTGCTGGAGCAGTTTGCTCCTGGGGGGTGGACCCCATGATACGAAGCCATGTGGGAGCAGTTCCTGAAGAGCTGCAGCCTGTGGGCAGCCCCCACAGGCTCAGTTCAGGAAGGACGGCATCCTGTGGGAGGGACCCCATGGGGAGCAGGGGCAGAGAGTGACCGTGAAGGAGCAGCGGAGATGAAGCATCAGGGACTGACCACAGCCCCCATTCCCTGTTCCCCTGAACCACCTGGGGGGAGGAGGTGGAAGAGAATGGATGGGGCAGGAAGGTGGTTTTAAGATGCTTTTAGTTCTTACTGCTCTAGTCTGGTATTCATTGGCATTAAATTACATTTATGTCCCTTACACTGTGACAGTTTTGCCCATGATGGTCATTGTTGAGTGATCTACCTGTCTTTATCTCAACCCATGAGTTTTTTCATCATATTTTCTGTCCCCATTCTGTTAAGGAGGGGGAGTGAGAGAGTGTCATGGTGATGCTTGGCTACCTAACAATGTTAAAGCGCAACAGGGACCACTGTGTGAATTTACACTTTTTGCTAGAGATGTGTTTTGGAACTACTGAAAGCCAGTTGGAGTCTCCATCCCTGAAAATTAGTATTTCTTTTGGGTTAAGGCTCATCATGTAATTACATACCTGTCATGTGTGTATTGCTTGTATGGAATATGTGCATGCTGAGCAACCATAAGTCAACCATGATATAAAACTGAAGAGGAATATACACATTGAGACTAGGTTTCATCTCCTAAAAACCCCTCTGCACCCCAGACAAATGGACAAAGATATAGCAGAAGACTAACTGGAATGTTTGAGACAAGTGAGAAGCGGTTCCTTAGAGCCCACTTGCTGCTGTTGATGTTCAATCAAGGACAAACAGGGCATTACTGGAGCTGGAAGGAAAATATAACCGAAAAGAAAAATGTGTCTCTGGGTCATTCACTCTGCTCAGAGACACAGCACATTTCTCTCACTAAACTACGAGGCTCTGAAGAACAGGATGAATGTAGCACTGATCTTGCAGTCAGGTGCCTCTCACTAAATCCATGCATCTACTTGTGCCCTGTGAATTTCTTCACATGGATTGGCCTATGAGATCAGAGTCTACAGATGCAAGAAAGCAAATAAAAGAGCAGAGTATTATACATTTGAATAACCAACACACAAGGCAGTTAGGTTCATAGAAGCGTTGTTTAATCAAGCATTGGAAATACAAGGTGTTCCTTGGGTGGCATGGTAACATGTTGGATCTGAGAGATTTTGGAGGAGTGTATCTGATAAGTTACTGGAACACTGGAGATTACAGGAGGCATGAGGAACAAAACTGTCCAGCCTGCTTTTACAGCACACCTCAACAAGGTGTTTGTAAACATGAATCAAACACTGAATGCTTGATTAGCACCTTACTAACATCATTGAGTTACTGGAGGTCTTCAGAAATGGGATTGATAAGATATATTGTTGTAATCTTCGCTTTCTGTGAGTAAGGGTTGTATCTCTGGAGAAGTTCCTGCTCTTTTCTTCTTGCAGGCCAGGATGAGGCTAGAGAGCACAGCAGTAACTATACCTCCAATCACAGCTGCACCAACCAGCCAGGGCCAGATCTGACGGGCTTGCTCAAGGTATGGTATTAAAAATTCCTGGAAAGAATCAAGTGCTGGAAAAAAAAAAAGGAGAAAAACAGAGGTTGTTTTACATGATGCAATGTAGTATCAGTTTACAGAGGCTGTATAACAGATAATACTGGAAAGTTCAGAGTAAAAAAATGATATTAAATTGTTACAAATTGAATGTTACAAAGAATTTTAAACAAATACCTTCAGTCCTTATAGTTAAAATTTCTCCATTTTTGTATTCGAGACAGGAGCAGAGTTCACTATCACCAGTGCTCCTTATGGTTTTATGAAAGCTGTAAGAACGTAACCCAAGAGCAATTTGAAAAAGTATGGCCAAAGGTCCTGCTAGGTTAGCATCTTGTTAACAACAATAACCAAAGCTGAGTACAGGTAAGAGTTTAAGAACAGGTTAAGCCTATCAGGATCCTTTCACAAAATACTTACCCAGCCTCTGTCAACTGCAGTACCTCTCCCCAGCTCCTCCCCCCTAAAATTATAAATATTTTCCTGCCATCTTCCAGTTCAGTAGAAGTAATTGACCTCTGAAAAGATGATTTTGGTTTGGGGTACCTTCAAAGTTAAACCACATTTGATGTCTGAATCACTTTCTGAGATATATTCCAATTTAGGCTGATTTTAGGCAGGAGTTGATTGGTTTTTCCCTTCAACTAAGCTTCGTTTTGGGGAATGCTTTGTTTTTACTTTTCTGGTCCTTGTTTTCAAGTTAATCCAATTTTGTATTCTGAGATTAGATTTGTAAGAGTCTGCATGTTCAGCCTTCTGTTTCTGTCCTCATTAGACACTTAAATGCTATATAACACTAAGAATTAAAAATAAATAAATAAATAGGTTCTTGATGAGTTCAGAAATAGTTCTGCAAACCTCTGTGTATGAGGTACCTTCTCTCTTTAATTTCTCATCTGTCAAATAAGGAAGGATGGTACCATTCACTGAATCCTCTGCATTGTGAATATAAATTAATATTCCTGCAGGACACAGCTGCTATAGTGATTGTCACAAAGAAAAGTGCAAGATGACACATTTTCAGGACAACATCTTAAGAGTGTTCAATAAATCATATATTAGGCTACACACTGCTTAACTGAGAAAAAGAAAATCAAAACTGAAAAGGCTTGGACATCTGGTTCTTAATGAATGCTAGATAGGTTGTGTAGTAAGGTGGGAGTCTGGGTAAAATAGTTTGCAATTAAAAATAGTACACAGATACAGGCCTAGAGGGTGAATTATGACTTAAAAGCACAATTCTGGCAATTCTTAACTTTGTGTGCTTTACTCCATAATCCCAGTGTTTTTTAATGCAACTCTATCAGGTTTATATTGTAAACATGACTGAATTAGAAACAATTTGGTTATTCAAACTGGAGAATGCATGTGATAGATGAAAGTTAATACATAACAGATATGGTCTTTATAATATAGAAAAAGAATTATCACAAAGTTCTACATCTTATTGAATTTATCTGTAAGTGAGGATTTTTAAGTGACTTCATAAATTTGTACGTTGTCTTTCAACAGACTCTCTCCTCCATCAATATAACTTTGAAACCTGAAATACTTTCTCACTGGTAAAACACAGCATGACTTTGAGACGAAGAGTTGTCGCATTTCACAGCAGTACCTCTCAGAAGAAATTTATGTATTTTATTATATCCTGATATTCAGTCAAACATGTCTTTCTTTGCTTTCAACCTCAGTCTGTACAGTTTCTGTAATTAGCTCAAAGGCAACAGCCACCTCCTGGCATCCACTGCCTATTTTCTACTTCTTTTTGCTGCACAAAAGATGCTTGTCTTCTCCATCACAAAGTTGCCATGGCAACCCTTGAGTGTCAGTGGATGGAACACCCCAGGGCACTCTATAATCTGTAGTCTGTGACTGAAATACCACCAAAAACCTATGACTGGCCTGGCTGCCCTGCAGAAATCCTGCAAACTGGAATTTAGAGGACTACGATACCATAATGCCTTAATCTTTAACTGTGCAAGGCTCAAGAGCACAGTGACTATCTGGGAAAAGTGTCAAGGGAGTGAAGCTCCCATGTAGCTGCGTTGTGGGAGACATTAGCCAATGCCAGCTCATTTCCTTCTGTATTGGTGCTTGGAGTCAAAGGATAATCCTCACGGGAAGGTGCCATGGACATTGATTAAAGCTGTCCTTTCAGTCATTAGGTTCATAACAAAGCAAGAGCAAGCCAGGTCATGCTGGTGCTTGATATCTAGCCTTCCATTAGTGACTAACACCAATAATACCTCTTCTTGCTCTTTCTGATAGGAAAATAGCAGTGATTAACCTCCATCACAGTCTTAGCATTCCACTCTTGATGTTCTCTTTCTTCTCAAAGAGTGTTAGCTCTAGGTAACAGCAATGTAACATTTCTTACTCTTAATACATCAGATCCTTTTCCTTTTCCTTTTCCTTTTCCTTTTCCTTTTCCTTTTCCTTTTCCTTTTCCTTTTCCTTTTCCTTTCCTTTCTTCCTTTTCCTTTCCTTTTCCATTTTCTTTCCTTTCCTTTCAGTTTTCTTTTCTTTTCCACCTTCAGTCCTTCTTCCTTCTTCTTCCTTTCCACTCTTCCTTCCTTCTTCCTCCTTCCTTCTTCCTCCTTCCTTCCTTCCTTCCTTCCTTCTTCCTTCCTTCCTCCATTCCTTCCTTCCTTCCTTCCTTCCTTCCTTCTTCTCCCCCCACTTTTCTTTTTAATTTACAAATAATGAACATTCCCCTTTGCCCAGATCATTGGATGTCATCGAGAGAGTAGGAAACTACAGCACTGTAATTTTGAAAAAAAGTAATGTGTGATTCCTATATTTAGGGTAATAATGTAAACTTTTATTGATTCATCCTTTTGTGGTGATCTCAAACTACATTATTGATATAATGGATCCCAAGGCTGGAAAAAAATAAGTTAATATTTAAATGTTATTGAAAGAATATTTATATATTTTAGGTATTCCTTTTATGTAAACTAGAGGATGGAAAAGTCAAGGGTTAATTCCACAAAGTGGAAATAAAAACTATGTCCAGCCAAGAAATAAACAAAACAAATTTTCTATCATTTTCTATCACCATATGTCCAACTGGTATATTGGCAGTCTTTCTCTTCCATTTGGCATGCTTTTCTACCCCTAACGTGGGCAGTTAAGGAGCACCAGATTTTAATGCAAACTTTGAGACAACGCAAACATCAGCTCAAGCTTGCATTTTTTTTTCTCATCTTAGTGATTGAGTTATTTCCATTTAGTTGCTGCCATTTCCTTGATATGGTATGGATGGTTTCACTGATTTTATCCTTTTGGGTGATCAAAGGAAATGCTAGCGAGACTTCTATAACCAACAACAAGGAAGATAATCTGGTAGGGATTTCAACATATAGACTCCCTCAGCCTTAATGTAGGATCATTTGAACCTGCAGTGATGGAAAGTTCACAGCTCTCACAAACTTCATTAGATTTTTCTTATTCTTAGTTTGGAAAGTTTTTCATAATGTGTTCTGATGATGAGAGATAGTCTAAAGATTCAGACATTGTCCATTCTCTTGGAAGAAAGAGATGCTGTGCAATGGTTGTTAGTAGGTTGTTTACAGTAGAACCACAGTATCTAATGATGTAAATTCATCTGTTCCCTTTCAGTTCTACTTTGAGTCTAAGGCAGGTAAATCTGAAAACTATAATCCATCCCATTTTACATCATGTGGCTGGCTGTAGGAACAGTGAGAACCAGAACATTTCTGTATGAGTGGTAAGATGAGTGGTAAGAGCCTTACAGTGCTTTTTTTTTCTTTTTCTTTTTTTTTTTTTTTTTTTATGCTGAAGTCATTTAGAGTTGTCTCTGCCTGTTACTTCTGCATAGTAACATTGCTGTGCATTCCTGCCCACTCACTGGCAACAATGACACATCCGCAGAGTGGATTACTGGTAAAAACAGATTACTTTGGTGTATTGAAAGAAGATAAATAAACATTTCCTAAGTGTATTTATAGAGCAATACTGTTTGTTTTTTTTTGTTTGTTTGACAACCTCAGTTAACACTTGGACCTCTCTTTCACAGTTTTCTTATATGTACTTCTCAAAAAAAGGTGAGATATGTCCATAGGTTACCTGATATGAGAACACTATCTGCTATCTGCTATTAAGTTGTTACTAACTCACCAAAAAACAGTTTCCTACATCTAAATGGCTCCACGGAGGAAAAAAAAAAAAAAAAAAAAAAAAAAAGAAAGCATATTTTAAAACACATATTTATGCTCCTCCATTAAGCACTGTTACATAACTGTTAAAAAATCTGCTCATACTCTTCTTTCCAAAGAATATTTTTTACTTCTTGCTTTCTTTGGTTGTTTCCCCTGTTTTAAGTAAACTTATTCTACACTTCCTTATCTCTGCCTGAAGAAAATCATGGGACCCAAACAATCTCTTCTCATCTTTTATTTATTTCAGAAATGTAAACCACTTCCCAAGACAGCATTTATCCAGTACTGTCACCTTTAATTGCATTCTCTTGTCCCAGGATCCACATTTTGTTGCACAGACCACAGTTTTATCATAAGCTTTTCCATACACAATGTCACTGTTTCACAGTTTGGCCAACAACGTGTGCTCTTGAGAAAGGGGACCCAGCCCAGCCCCTCTGTGGTGGTGACATATTTGCCAGTTGCCACATTTTCTAGTTGCTTGGCTGTGGTTGTGCAACAAAACTGCTGAAGAGCCAGAAATAGAAATGAGCTGCAGGCAAAATCTGGATCTGAGCTCTCTCTTGCAACATATCCATGAGCAACCTGGCCTTCTGCATTGTAATCACAATGCTTTTATCCCTTTCTTTGCCCTGAGTGTCAAGGCCCCTTAGTTAAAATGTCCAAAAAAAAAAAAAAAAAAAAGAAAAAAAAAAGTGAGTCACCCAGCAACATTTAGAATGGTCATCAAATTGTTTCCACTAAAAGAGGGAGATTTTCTGGGTAAAAGTCAGGGCTGTGTCTATGAGTTTATCTGTTCTTATTTCTAAAACAAACAAAAGAAACAAAATCAACCAGCAACAACAACAACAACAATAATAAAGAAAATACTTAGTCTAGACCTTCAAAGATAAGTGCTTGGAACAGCTCTCGTCAGAGCAAATTGTTTTGACAGCTATTGCTAGGTGGTGCCGTTAGTCTTCCAAATCTCTTTTATTGATGCTAACAAATGTTCATTTTCAGTAAGCCATGCCAATTGTGGCAGTTTTACAGTTCACAGTTCTCATGTCAAGCAAAGTTGGGTGTCTGCTTCAGTTTCTGCTCAAATCAGCTCCCCAGAAAACAGGCTCTGACATGTGTTTTTGATTCCCGAGGGATGGATTTCCATCTACACTATTTGTGACCACTTCTGCTTCAGGGCTGTCATACTTATAAAAATAAATGAAACTGCAATTAAAATAGCCACATACTGTCACACATTGATTTGCTTTTCAGTGGAAAGCAGGGCTCCAGGCACCAGCTTTTCCTCATGAGAAGATCAACAATATAATTTAGCATTAAAATACCATTTTGTCATTGGATTCTTTCCCAGTATTTTTTTTTTTTTTCTTTGTAACCAGCCCCATCATGTTCTGTATAGTCCTACTCGTTCTCTAGCAAGCTGCTGGTGCAGCATCTCAGAACTGCTGCTGTTGCTGCTTGCCTCCAGCTGCTTTCTTTAAAAGACCTCGTTGGTGTGCTCATTCCTCTATCTGTCCTATCCATGTTCCTCTGCTTGTCCTCTTCCTCCTCATTTGGATGATCTGCATCCAGAGATGTTACCGCCTCTTGACCACCCAGATTTTTACAGCTAGTATGTATTTTTTGTTTGTTTATTTGTTTTTCTCTTTCTATTTTTTTTCCTATCTGTCTAGTAACCCCTGACTGCCAAGACGTAAAATTTCTGTGCATCCTTGAGTACAAGGGAGATTTCAAGGGGGGTTGGCAGGCTTTCCTGCTTCAGCCTCTGTATCAAGAAATTCCTGTTTACTCTAATGCTTCTCTTAACCCATCATTCCTCTCTAGAGAACAGGATGGGTTTAAACACTGAAGTACTGAGAAAATCCATATCTGCATTTTGTGGTTCCAGGCCATTTTCCACTTCTAACCAGTTCTTCCCTTCAGATAAGAAATAGCTTAAACTCTCTTTTTGTCAGTGAGATTAACAAAAGGCTGAACAATGTCTGAGGATTATCTGGGTTTTCTAAATGAGGTTGAATTTCACTATTTTCTCTAATTCACTCTTTTTGAATTATCTTTTCACAAAATAATTAAGAAAGTACTTTCCTTACCTCTGTGTTAAAAACATGGGCAGAATTTAATACAAATTTCATTTTCCACGGACTGTGTACTCCTCTAGGGAAAGGCAAGAGATCAGGAGGCAAGAGAAGTGAATTGCTACATGGTAAATAATTTACCATTTTCTTTCTTTTGCAGTACCAATTCAGGACTCAACATTTCTGACTGTCATGGTGCTTTGAAATTTTTTTTTTAGGGGCATGATTCTGGGAATAATGTGTTTTTCAGAAACTGGTAACTCTCATTAAAATATATATATATTTATTTCTAATCTTGATTAGGAACTAAATTGTGGTGACATGAGCAAAAAGACAAAAATGTATCTAATAAGACCAAAATAATAATTTTGAGATTATATTTGAAATATTTATTAGATTGTTTTCCCTCTGAATAAATGGAGTTGACCAAATATTTTATGTCATGCTAGGTGAAATATTGATTTCTTTCTCTGTGTTTTTGTGAAAATAAGGTCTTAACAGTCATCTATGAGAGTTGAAGATTTCTTTCCTCACACATAAAATAGTTTAAAAAAATGCATTTTCTGGATGACTGTAAATTGCAAGCTGGATTTTACCTGAGAATTGAATGAACAAGCTAAATTCATGATTTGACAGTTTATCAAGTACGCAGAAAGCACAGTACTCACAGTACTGGTAAGCAAAATCCATAAGAAAAGCAGGGCTGTTCTGAGAACTGATATAATTTCAATAAAAGAAAAAAAAAAAAAAAAAAAGCAACGAGAATGTTAAGTGTTGCTAAAATGTCCCTAGTGCTTTTGCTTTATAATTATTGGACTTCTAGCTCTTAATTGCCTCTTAACCGAAGAGACACATTAGCAGAAAGTTTTCTGCCTAAAACAGGAGAAGCAAACATGCATAGTAACCTATTCCTTCAGTGGCCAATATTCTGTAAAGGTAACTGCATCCCACTACCCTGGTAGCTTGTGGTGGTGGCGAACATCAGACAGGTCTGATCATTCCAGTGAGACGCGTCTGATCATTCCAATGGCCTAATTTTATAAAGGATTTAAGCCAAAGTATCTGAGCAATCCTAAGTTCTGGGCAACTTGATAGCTTTAGCAGAATTTAGCCCTTACCTTAGACAATAAAGAGACTCAAGCAAAACTGATGAAGTCCCCTACCCTAAGCACAAGATCTGATCTACCTGAGGTTTCCCGGTATCTGAAGCCCCACGGGCCTCTTTCCTCACAGTGCCTGAGAATGGCTAAGACACCCAAATTAAAGCCATCTCTGAACAGCAATGCAAGTCAAAACCATTACCAAACAGAGCAAAACTCATTCAATTAAATTAAACTTACATTATGAATGATTCAGTTGCATGCTGTATAAATAACCACAGGACAAGCACAAGGCCAACGGGTCACCATTTTAAGTGCTGCACAAACATTGTGTTGGTCTTCGGTATGCAGATTAATTTTACTTTGGGGTTTTAAGAGATCAGCTTTATTACGTTTGTAAACCAGAAAGAGAGCTTTGGATCTGCTGTCCCTTAAACCACCTAGAATCTGAAAATCAACTTTTTTCTATTTATGTTGCACATTATCAATTGAGCTGGGTAAACAGCAGACTCAAAACCCAGCACTTTTTCCTCCCTGTTCTAATCATGAGTTGACCCTCTGGGTCATATTCAGCCCTTATTGAAGCTAGGCTAGATAAGAATGATGTCAGTGACTGATTTTTGATTGGGACTTTTCTAATGGTCTTATGTTGACTCTGAATATCACCAGATGAGAAATATGAAAACAAGAAGGTGCAACTTAGGACTATATTATGGAAAAAAATGGAATAGAAGGATTTATATACATATATATTATATGTATATATTATATACATATATATATATATATATATATATAGTCATTCTGCAGTCACAGTCCATGTTATAAGCAACAAATTCGACTTAAAATTGTTGTGTTACCTGGTTCTTGTAGATACTCATAGTCATATCCCAGCTCTCTTGATGGTATAAAAAATTCTCCATTTCTGTAAAGAGGAATAAAGGGGACCATGTAATTTTCTCGATTGTGGCCGATGGGTGCATTGGCTGCTGGGTAAACTTCTAGGATGGGCCTGTGTCTTCTTAACCACCGCTCAAAAATGCTACGGAAGAAAAAACATGTCTATTAATGGTGGTGATTAACAGAAATTTTCTTCTTGAAGAAAAAAAAAAAAAGTTGATGCATTTTTCTTGACCTCTGGAGACAGAGAGGCATTCAATGTCTGTTGTTTATGTGTATAATACTTTCCAAGTAGTTTGGGTTTAGCTATTTTGACCTGAGTTCCTGTTCAAGCCTCTGAAAAGCAAAGGACTACAATGCTTTAGAGAGGCTGAATATGCTTTTAAATTCCCTAAATGCAATTCACTGTGTCACTATGACCTGACTGTAATTTCTGTTCAGTAATTCATATGGTTGTGAGGGATACAGAGAAAAGGTTTAAAGTCCTCAGTCCTTGCTTGTCACTCTCAGAAACTTTATGACTCTTTCTGGATGGTCTTGTCCATTTTCATTCCTTTAGCTGTCTCCTAGCACAGGTTTGTAAGTCTGTTCTTTAATGTAGAGGGAGAAAGCTTAAGTGCTGCAGTATAGGAACAGAACAGTTTGTATTAATATTTTCAAGTCAACTCTTGGATGTGTTTGGAAAACAAAATTAACAACCCTCCAAAGCATTCTCAGTTCTTTTCCCTTTGTGCCTGAGCTTTGTCTGCTCAATTCTTCACCTTAATTCAATCCTCAGAACCTTTCCCAAATTCCCTACTGTTTACACTGTGTTTATACCTTGGCTTCTCAGCAAACACCTGGATATGCCAGGTTAGAACAGGGGAGGTGGCAAGGTGCTGCCGGGGGAACAGATGCAGGCATCTTACATGTAAATATAAGGGAGTCCACACTTCATCAAAAGAACTCGATAGAAGGGCATTACTGACATCAAGCACAGGGAGGGATCACTGAACTCATTTATCAATTATGAGGGATTTAAAGATACAAGGATCTAAAGAGACTTGTAGATTATACTTTATTTGGAATCTTGGATCAACAGTTGCTCAGGATTGAAGGTGTTTTACATGTATAAAAGGGCTGCTCCCTAACACCAGCCACTGGCTGGAGGACACATGCTCCCCATACCTCTGTAATTAATAACCAGTTGTTCAGGGACTCAAGTTATCTCAAAAACACAGACCCTAAGTGCAAGTGCTTTGAAGCATCCGGATCTCAGTGGAACGTGCAGGAATTCTGTAGGTAAAATTTTACCTCCTGTCTTTCGACAGAAATGTTGAGAAACACTTCGTTTATCCCATCAAAATTAAAGCCCTCTCTCCCTCATCAAAACAGAGCTTGGGCCAGAACCTTGGTTCTTTTTTAGGATCAAAAGATTTATTAGATGAAAGCATCACTATGTTCATCCACCTTGTCAACCCTTAACAATGCAGGTATTAATCTTGATTAAGATTTTCATTTGTGGCTCTCATCTTCAGTTAATTTCATCAGCCCTGTCTAGAAAACCTCTTGTCAGAATAATAATGCTCAGCTGAAGCTTTCAAATGGATAAATTTAAACAATGATATCAAGGCTTCAACTGCAGTTATCATGAGAAAGTTTGAACAGAAAGTCTGTAATCAGATTACATCTTTGGAGAATGGCATAGAGAAATTCAGTAATCATTTAAAAAGGCATACAATGTATGGGAAATCAGGCTGCTAGTTTAGCTTGGGAGTGGGAGAGAGGGAGAGTGTTGGACTACAGTCCTTACACTGCTTGCCTCTTGTGTTTTGGGCAAGGCACCCTTACTGTCAGTGCTTTGTTTTGTTTTGTTTTGTTTTGTTTTGTTTTGTTTTGTTTTTCCTAGCAGTTATAGATGAGAACTGAGATAGCTCTTCTCTACAGTGTAAGACTGCTAGAGGTACAGTTATAAGGATGTGATTATAATTTAAGAAGGCAGAGAAAGGACTTAGATGAGATTTTCAAGGTCTGATGATGATCCACACCCTAACATTTGAATTTTCAGTCTGAGGTACTTCTTGGGGTCTGTTTTTCAGAAAACGCTGAAGCTACATTCAGCAACCACATTTTAAAAATCTGAAGGGTTGATGAGCACACAATTCAGAGCTAGAAGTTGTCATTCACCTGAAATAGCTTTGCATGACATGCCCTGAAATGCAGCATTCTCCCTGGATGACTTAAACGTTGCAGTTTCATAAGCAGTTTCAAGAATTCTTAGGCCAGTAATCTTTTAAATAGAATGCAAATGTAAAGCATTTCCATGGAAATGAATATATGTGCTTTGGATTCCTTCATTTGCTGTGTGGTTCCCACATAAGATACCAAGCTGTTCCTAGCCATAGCAGGAGCATTGAATTACTGGCTCTTGCAGCTGATTCTTAGATTAAGATGCAATCATATGTCTCTAATTAATGATATGATGATTTGTGCTGATGCATAAGTTATGTTGCACAATTAATTGAGTTGTTTATGAATAGTTCTCTCCTTTAGCCAACATAAAACAATATAATCTTTAAAAAATGGCATAAATATGTTTCCTCTAACATATCTGTATGTCACTATAAAAATCTCAAAAATAGTCCTTTGGGTTTTAAGAGTCACACTTTCCATTACTCCCTCCAGAATAGCTGGCCTTGTGCATTTATCTTTGCATTTCCTTGGCTTTTTTTTTTTTTTCTTTACACTTTGAAATATTAGAATCAATCTGCTTGTTAATAAAGCAATTCAAAGAAGTTGCATTCATTCTTTCCATTTAAAGGCTTGTTCCCAGCTTGTTCAGTAAGATGGGCTCACGATACTCATTCTTTTCTCAGCAAGATAATGCATGATGCTCTGTATTTTTGGTGAGGATCTTCATCTTCATTTTTTTTATTCTTTTGCCTGAAAAATCTGATATCTTTGATACATCTTTTTCTTTGCCTTTTTTTTTTTTTTTTTTTTTTTAACTATCTCATCTGTTTGTATCTCTCTGTTTAAAAGGATGAACTGCCATTTCCCGGTTTAACCGTATTTTGTTAGAAAAGTTATGAAAGAAGGAATCTTACACTTGCTTTTTAAGAAAGATTTTCCAGCTGGGAGGAAAAATAAGTCTCCCAGTTCATTCAGCTGGAGAGAAAATCCATGGAGAGAGTGAAACAAGATATATATTGTTGTAAAATCCAAATAGTTCTTGTTGGGCATCATAGGCAATTTTGTATCAGAGAGTTACATTTTATGACTCCCGTGATGACCATCCATGACCAATGCATTTAACTCTCTTCATACATTCACCAGTCACCTCTTTATTTTCCATGTACCTTAGCAGAGCTTCCAGGAGAATCTGTTCTATATCTTGTCAGGCACAGAGGTGAGACTGACTGGCCTGTAGTTCCCTGGGTCTTTCTTCCCTTTTTAAAAATTAAAAAATTAAAAATGCTCTTTCCCCTCTACCAGTTAGTGCAAACTTCATCAGACTGCCACGACTTCTCAAATACGATGAACAGTGGCTTTAAAATTACGTTTGCCACTTCCCTCGGGACCCATGGATGCATTTCATCAGGTCCCATGGATCTGTGCACCTTCAGGTTCCTTAGATAGTCTCAAATTTGATCTTCTCCTACAGTGGGAGGTTCGTCATTCTCGCAGTCCCTGACTTTGCCTTCTGGGCCTGGGCCATGTGCTGGAGTTCTTGCTGGTGAAGACTGAGGCAAAAAAGTCATTGAGTACCTCAGCCTTCTCCATATCCTCAGTGACCAGGTCTCTCATTTCCTTTCAGAGAGGTCTCACAATTTTCCTAGTCTTCCTTTCATCACTGATGTACCTATAGAAGTTTCTCTTGTTCCCCTTGATGTCCCTGGCCAAATTTAACTCTAAAAGGGTTTTTGGGTTTCCTAACCTGATCCCTGGCTGTTCAGACAATGTCTCTGTATTCCTCTCAGGCTATCTGTCCTTGCTTCTACTCTCTGTAGGCCTCCTTTTTTTGTTTGAGTTTGGCCAGGAGCTCCTTATTCATCTGTGCAGGCCTCCTGGTGTTTTTGCCCAACGTTTTTTTTTGTTGGGATACATTACTCCCAAGCTTGGAGGAGATGATCCTTGAATATTAGTGAGCTTTCTGTGGCCCCTCTGCCCTTCAGGGCTTTGTCTCAAGCAGATCCCTGAAGAAGCCAGTCTGCTCTCCAAAAGTCCAGGGGAGTGAGCTTGCTGTGCTACCTCATCATTGCTCTCTGGATCCTAAACTATGCCATTTCATGGTCACTGCAGCCAAGGCTGCCCTTGAGCTTCTCATTTCCCACCTGCCCCACCTTGTTGATGAGAATGAGGTCCAGCATAGCACCTCTCCTCATTGTCTCCTCTATTTCTTGAAGAAGGAATTTGTCATCAATGCATTCCAGGAAACACTTGGGTTGCCTATGCCCTGCTGTGCTGTCCCTCCAACAGATATTGGGGTGGTTGAAGTCCCCCATGAATACCAGGGCATGTGAACATGAGGCTGCTTCTGTATGTCTATAGAGGGCCACAGCTGCTTGATCTCCCTGAGGAGGTGACCTGTAGCACACTTCCACTATTATGTTGCCTGTCCTTGCCTTCCCTTTAATCCTGACCCATAAGATCTCTGTCAGCTCCTTGTGATCTGAATGTTCATCCACATGTCCTGGTCTACAGAAATGGTTGCTCTATCACATAGTGGGCATGTGGTTTCTGTGATAGAGAGAAGTAAGTATTTTGGTCATCAGATGTTGTTCCACTCACTGTTGATAGAAGGTTTTGTTTTCTTCCCTTAAACACAGCCATGTTGTAAGTCATTTCCTTATATCTTGAAAATATAATCTCATATTCCATGTTTCTATGCTTGCAATAGCTGCAAACTTGGAAGAAGAGCTTAGAAGTGCAGAACTAAAAACTCACAGAAAAAGGCAAAGTGCTGATGCAATGAGCTGGTCCGTTTGTGGAGTGACAGTGTTGCTGGTAGAAAAGCCAAGTTTGTAGCGGAATGGCAGACTTGAACTCCTTGGATTTTTTGGTTACCTTGGCAAAACTGCTTTTATGTCTTCTTTATATGCACCTCTGCATCCTCCCCTGCCCCACAGTCTAACAAAGCAGGGCTATAAATAAAATGACAAC